TTCATTAAGTCGCCCAGAAAATTCTCACAGAAATTAAGACAAATTGAATGCAGATTCTTGGATAACTAAACCACAAACCTGTAGAGGTATGGCTTTTTAAAATAGGGTGCCATTCTTTATTTAGTTGTAGGTATACTTGTTCCTCAATAAAACATGGCACTTTAAAGTAAATTGATTATTTTAATGATGACTTTACTCCCACCGCTTTAAAGTTCACGCGTCAGGTTATTAAATACTTATTAAACACCTAACCGATGCGCCAGTGAACAAACGGCGAAGTAAACTTTAATTATGATAAACGACTTATTTTATTAATTTTCACATATATTTATTCTTACGTATGAGTTAATTGAATATTGTAAATTTGATTTTTCGCCTCGAGACTTAAAGTTAATGTATAAATTCCTTAAGGTTATTAAATACCTAGCTTATTTTTTCCCATGCCCGGCTTTATATGATCCTTATCCAGCACTAATATCCCGACCAGCAGCTAGTAAAATGTCGGTCTTGCCATGAATTTTCATGGTCGCAACTCTGCTTTTTTATGCTCGTGCCATCGGAACAACAATGGCGTACCAAGGCCAAAGAAAGTGGCCATAAAATATGACATTTGCTAGCCTTTTGTCTGCACAATGGCCATATTGCCGGGCGAAAGGGGGCTGCAATCGGCTAGCAATTAATCAGGCTTCATTTGCACTTAATCGCGGCCATGATTTGCACGCGCGTGCGGCCCAATCATGTGGCCGTTAGATTCCATTATATATATTATATTTCAGGCACCCGCTTATTCAATTTAATTTTCATTAGACCCCAATGCCATGCGGTCATCGACGAGCGGCAAATTATTTTGGGACGAAGGGAAATAGGAATAAAGACTCATTTTAATATGCGTTGCCCAGCAACAACGACCGCGTTTCTTGGCCATTTTTCGACTCCCTCTATCCGCGGCCTTAATTACATATTTAAATTCCAACTGCGCGGTCCTCTCAATAACAAAAAAAATGTGTAAGCCGAGAAATAGCATGGAAATTTTGGGTCGCAACTTGCAGGCCGTAGTTATGAGATACCATAAACAACATGGCGTCAAAACAAACCGAAATGGAGAGTCCTTTGGAGTGAAATTTTCGAGTACTCTTGGAAAAAGTTTCCCCAAAACTAAAATGTATATATTTTTTCATTAAAATTCGTACAAATAAACGTTTGAAAAATTTTTTAGAAATTAAAAATGTATTACATTTAGTCAAAAACATATATAAAATCTATAACTACATTTTTTTTTTAAAAGGTTAAAAAAGGTTCAAAAATCAACGTTACCCTTTTCAGTTAGTGTAAAAACATGACCAAGGTCATGCCTGTTGTAACTCTTAAGTGGCTATCAACTGAATTTGTCCAAAATCATAAAAAAATATATAATTTATTGTTATGTAACCGAGCCACAAATGAATTCTAACCAGCATTGTAATATTCTGGAACAATATGACATAAGACTTTTAAAGAAAAAAAAAAACTGGGAGCGGTTTTACGAGGAACTCAAAATAAACTAAGCGAAAATACTCATATAAATAATAATGAAGAACTTTTTGTTTATATGATAGTATGGGTATTTGGTTTTATAGGGAAACTAAATTACTTTATTGAAAGTTTTTGCTTGCAAAGTTTTTATCCTCCCTACCAGCAATTTAATTAAATCTGTAATATGTATAAGTCAGTAAATGTGTTTGAAAAAATTTTTCATATAACCAGCTATTAAAATAAATAATCAAGTTCTGCAAGATAATTTGATTTCCTTTTTGTAAGCATATTGACGCTTGATTTTTGTTTATATAATTATGTAAATTCTAAGCCACTAATTTGTTTTAATTGTTATACATTTTAATTAATCCTCCTGTAGTTTCTCATTAATAAAATTGCAATTAAGCCGTTATTGATTCAGCCTTAAAGCAGACCTGTAAAAAATTACTTTATGTAAAGTTTTTGCTTACAAAAAGTTTTTTTTATAAGCATATTAATATCATTTTAGCTAACAGCAATTTAGTAAGAGCTTTAACATATATTAGTCAGTTATTGTGTTTAAAAAAAAATTTCATATTACCAGCAATAACCTGCAATTAAAATAATTGACCAAAAAAAAGACAGAAAGCTTAATAAATACCTACCAACTATGCTTTATTAAACCACTTTTATTTTGTTTGGGTAAAAAAAACTCTGCAAGCTAATTTGATTTCTTTTTTGTGAACAAATTTATGCTTGATTTTTGTTTCCATCATTATGCTGAATGATTTAAATGTTTTATTGTTATACATTTTAATTAAACTTGCTGTAGTTTCTGTTTAATCAAATTGCAATTCAGCCGTTGTTGATTAAAATGTTAAACCAGTTTTAAATGTTAAATGGCTTTGGTAGTAAAATTAAAAAAAAATAGCTTTTGTGTTTTATTTCTTTGCCATATACTTGATCATCAAACATTAAAACACATTTACTTACCATTATTATTTACAGCAATTGCTTAATTTTATTTGCTTTCTTCGGATACAAATTCACATTCAGTTGGACATTTTCGAAATTAGCTGGCATTACAGAGGCATTAGGGATACCTCATCACATCTGCATAAATTTCCACTGCCTCTGAAAATTGTTGCCTGGTTTTATGTGGCGCACTGCAATTTTCCTTCAATTTTCTCCAGCTTAATTTACGCGATGTGGCTGGTTTTCCCTATTGATTTATTTAGGCGTAGGCCATTCACGCCCTCTCATAACTGCCTATGTATGTGCCTCCGTTTGTGTTTCAGTCATTCATTCATTGTTCGCTCACGCATTTCCCTGCTTTCGCCGTTTTATGGCTATGCCCTACTCCCCCCCCTCTGGTTTAACCACCCCACTTTTCCTTCCGCTCTGTTCCGCTTTTCTCTCCACCCCCTCCCGCGAACAGCATTGATTCATGTTAAATTTATGCAAATTGCCTGGTATTTCGTCTGCCTGGATAAGCGTCTTCCACACCAGCTAGCTTCTAAAAATAGTCTACACAACAGAAAAAATTAGCAAAGTATAACAATGTCAGACCGATACGCCAGCTGAATTTAACGGAATTAATAAATACCAATCAATTATGTCTGTATTAGAATAAGTAATTATTAAAGAGGCAAAGGTAAGCTGCATAAATATAAGTACTTTTTTTTACAATTCATAGATAAGGAGAACTAAGACGTATTCTCATTTAACTACTGCATTATAAATATAAACTTATGTTTTAACATCTTTAAAACATAAAATATTGGCACGTTCTTTTAATATTTAAACTTATTGGTCTCATAATAATAATTTTAATTTAAAGTCATAATTGGAGCAGCTGAGACATAAAATCCTTATATTGTTAATTCTTAAAGTTTAAAAACAGTAAAAACATATAATACTAGCTACTTAAAAATTACATTGGCGATGTGTTTCGCCGCTGTGTATAAATTTAAGCTTAAACCCTTGATTAACTTTCCTCGAAAACGGGTTAGACGTTGCCTTCAAATTAAATGGTTAATTTCTTGCAACATTTAGCTGCAGTTGGTCTTGTTTCGACGCGCGGCAGACGGGGCGTATACGTCATCTCCACTCTGCACACATCAGTTGCCATCGAACAATGGCACTTGCGAGGATGGATGGCTGATGGTTGATGGCTTACAGGAATAACCGCTTTGCTGCTTTATGGTGAATACATGCTAGTCGCTATTTTCTTCTTGGCCAGCAAAAGCCAGCCGATGACGTGACCCAAAAGGGGGTCCTTTGAGCCGAAGGTCAAAATACTCGCTCGCCATACTGGAAATTGTGACTCCAATGCGAAAACGTTTGCGGATTTTGGTCGCCGCGGTTGTAAAATCAATTCCCCACGGCATCACCCCTTTCGTTTTCCTTGTCAACTGCATTTTCCATTGCATTGAGCGATGACTAAATCGCATTTTCCCAGCATTGACAAGGTCAGATCAAGTGAAATTCTAGATCTCTGGGTATCTGGTTATCAGCTTAAAGCAGCCAAAGGCAAGTGAAAATGTAATTACAACAATGAAATACGAGTCACTTGACCCAGATTGCCACCCCTGCTGGCAGGCACCTTTGAGAAAGTGTGACTTCCGCACGTTTTGTTGATTTTTCGAGGGTGAAAAGAAGGCTTTCCCAAAGGCTTCACGAAGGATACGCCAGAGTAATGAAATCCCGACCAGACGAACAACACAACACTACCTCATAAAAGGAAAGCAGCAGCAGAATTATTGCATGGCTTGCAATATTCTTGGGCGAGGTCAATGTGTTTTTTGTTTATTGGCAAGCCAACGAGAACGTTTTACGCGCAACTCAGGCGAATACACTGGGAAAAAGTATTTCCATAGCAAATATTTTTGTACAACCAAAAGAAACTGTTGCATTTTATTTTTAATTCAAAATAATTAATAAAATAATAACTCATTTAATTTCCTAGGGAATAAAGCAAATACATTTTATTTTATTGTTAATATTTTAAAGAGGAAGCTTTTTTTATAAATAGAAAATAAAATCGTAAATATAGAGTTTATATTCTTTGATATTTTCGTCTTAAACTATCAATTTTAAACTATTTACATTTGAGTGAGGCTAATTTATATTTATAATTGTTTTAAGATTTAAATTTCCTTTTTTTGCTTTTTAAATACGCATTGCTCAACTAAGAAACACTTACTCGTTAATCTCTGGCTGTTTTCTCGGTTCCTTATCGTATCGTATTTCAAAAATTTAACTCTTTTATCGGGTAGGGAGAAAACCACATCAGAGTTTTTGCAATGAATGGGTGTTGGGGAATTGGATCAGAGCTCGAGATCAGTAGCGTACAAAATTCTCTTGGGAATGCCCATTAACAAGATTGTGAACCTTAAGACTTCGTGGACTTAATTTCTCCGCTGTTGATTTTGAAACAAATGGCCTCGAATAATTTTGATTTATTATGCAAACAAACTTTAACGAGTTTCAGTCGAGCATAGCCTTGCGTGGAGTCGGTTGTATATTCGAAATGGAAGAATACTTTTCGGAATTGATCGGTATACTTTTTATTTAAATGGTTATAGTGATATATTGCACAACTAAACCCCGAACGTATTCTTGTTTAAAAGAGGCATCGATATCTGTGATAACATGTTAAAAACTAAAAATATCTGTCGACACTCACTAACTTGCAAACTAAAGAATTTGGTAGAAGTTTATAGGCTAACTTTAATTATATTTGAAGTTAGCTTTTACTAGTTACCAAAAATTGTTTTTTGAAGTTTATAAGTTGAGTAATGGTATCTAATTGTCAACTTGTCTTGTTTTCTTTTCTGTTGTCCCAGTCACGGCAATATCGTTGGTCTGCAATATCCTTACAATTGCAGTATATCTTTACGTAAAGAAGCTACGGAATGTGATCGGCAAGTGCCTTATCAGCAGCTTGTTCTGGCTTTCGCTACTGTACCTTGTAATGATACTAGACTTCACTGAACTGTTTACAAATTATTTATTTGAAGGTGAGTTGGTAAAATTTAATTCAGATCTTAAAGATTCTTATTTCTTTTATTAATTTGTTTTACTCATTGGCAGAGTTCTGTATTAACTCCATAATTTTTACATATAATTTATGGAACTCTATCATAAGCTTTCATCTGTGGAAAACTTTGAGGTCGCTCAGTGTCGAAGAACCACGTCATCAGTTCCTGAAGTACAGTGCCTTTGTCTGGGGAACAACTGCCGTCCTGATCGCAGTCGATTTTCTAATCAAAGCATTTTATGATGACAATCCGTCGTTATGGAATATTTTTAGAGGTAATACTGAATTTTGTATTTGAAATATGGAGCTTTGACTTACTCTAGTCTCCTCAGTTCTGTAAATTTTTGAAAATTCGAGGCGATACATTTTCAAGGTATCAATATAGCAAACTATTTATTTCCTTTCACAGGAATTGGCTGTGAGCCCTGCTTTTATATACTATTGCTGTTCCTAAATACAGCAAATTTGACCATGTTTATTCTAACTGGTCTGCATATTCGAAAAATAAAAAAAGAAACAAAAAGGTTTGCTCAAGATAAGGAGACTATAACAACCTGTCTTAACTTCGATATACAGGAGTAGGTCCCATTTATTCTATACTTTGGTAATCAAATCTTAAATCATGATATTTATTTAGGTACCTACAGCTTCTGCGGATCTTTTTCATAAAGGGAGTGTGTTGGATCCTCAACACAGTATATTATTTTCTAGATCAACTCAATTATGGTTACACAGTTCCTGATGCTGTCAGGTATCTTCTTTGCGGTTTCGGTATTATAGTTTTTGTGCTTATCATCCTCAAGCGCAGCACATTTAGTTTGCTTATGGAAAGGTAAGTTAGTTTTAACTGAGATGGACCCTTGAAAAATCTGATCCCTTTTATTTCAGCATTCGTGAAAATCGGATGAAGCTTTTTGGCCGTGCTCCCAGGGTTATGAATCCTGCTTAAATACTTGTAGCTTCCAGCACTGACATATTTTGGTTGTCTGGCTCGTACCTTAAATATATATTGTATATATTTATATATATTTATTTGCCTAAAAATATTTAAAAAATGTATATTTAAAAACAGCAGCCCTAATTTTAGTTGAAGTATTTTAAGTGTATCAGATCTAATTATTATCGGCAATATAAATTTGATTGGAAAGCATTTTTTATTTGTTAAATATAATTTATTGAATAAATTATCGATAAATATGCTTTTAATTAATTTACTTATTTTTAATTTCTTTATAATGCGGTTTTAAAAAAAAGGGTTTAAGAGTAATTTTACTGTGTTTAATAAAACTAAATGACTACATGCTAGAAGTATAAGCTTTCTTTCTCTGTATAAGTAGGACCTGTCATACATGCGAATACTTGTGCTCCAAATGGAAAGTTACGCACTTGAGAGGGGAAAGCATAACTTCTGCTCCAAGCCAGGCCAACTTCCATATCCCATCCCATCCCATCCTATTAAGCTGTCGCCTGTTCTTGGGCTCAGACATCCCCATTGTCCATAAATCAAATGTTGCTTTGAAGTTTCCGCTTGTCTGCTGTGGCCCTAGATAAATGAAACTATATATATCTGGAAAGCAAATATAAAAATGGTCGGAGATGGGCAACTTAGTAATACTTCGTAAACTTTTTTGTTCTTTAAGAAGTTCTAAAGAATGTAGTTTTGAATAATAAAATCAAATAATTTATAATTTACTCAGTTATTCAATGGTCTTCCTTAAACATATATTCTAAAAAATTATAGAAGCTGTTGAAAAAAGAATATGATCGTTAATGCTGATTTTCATTTCATTTACATTTCCAACATGCCATAATTTTGCAAATTCTTAAATATCTCTTTAGCAGTTTACATTACAGGGTGAAAGCATAAGAAAAGTGTTTTTTTGTATGAAAAACAAATGGCAACTTAAACTTCATGAATACTCTATGAGCCAGAGCCTTCCGGCTGGAGCTTTGAGCTCTGAACACTTTCGCCTCAGTGAATTGTGAAACTTTTCGGCGCCAATCCGCGAATATTCAAAACTTTTCTGCGTTTGGTGGTAAATTGCATTTCCGAATGGATGCTTGTGTATGTGCCAAAACAATAAAAAAATTTCGTTGGCATACGAGGTAGTAAATTGAATTAACCCAGGGTGAAAGGGAGTTCGTGGCATCCGGTTCCTTAGTTTCGAGATCCACTGAGTGATGGGCCCACGATGATAATAAAAAGTGTAGCACCGGGCAAGTGGAAATGTAAACAAGTATGCCACATGTGTGACGAGGCACAATTGACTCGTCTTCTTGACTCCAGCTTGAGTTGCTCAACAATGGCCGGCTTTGTGGCTCAAGTTAATTGACTTGGCCCTTTGGCCAAGTGAATGTGTCTGTGGATGTGAATGTGAACGCAAGGAGGAATGGGTTTAATCGTCCAGGATGCCGCATATATATGCTCCAGTTGCCAGCAGATAGGGCACGAGTCTCTAAATACCATTGTGTGACTGACATCTTAATTAAAATGACTCATACGCGCCGTTGGCCGAGCTGCTAAACATTTCCCCAGCAACATTTCAAGGCGCACACAACAAGTGTCTTGGCAACATTGCTTATAAACATTTGTTGCTGACTACCACAAGAATAAATCCTTGGAAAATTAAAAGGCTTTATTCTTTTGATAAAATTTCCTGTTACTTTATTATGTTTTTTAAGTTACTCATTATAAAGATGATACATACATAGGTTTTTTAAGCATTTTTTTAATTACCGGAATTTATACTACCAAATGGTTGTTTTTATTGACTGCTAATCATTTTTAATCGTCCCAAGAGTAATTTTAATTTGTTTATGTATGAGGGAATATATTAGCACCTATAAAACTTATCTAATTTTCTAAACATTCATTTATTTACCCTAACAGTTTATTTTTAAATTTTCTGGGTGCATTTACCATCGGAATATTTTTTAAACATTTTTGATAATATACCATTAAAGATAGTTGGCACCATTTTAAATGTATTTACTTGTTTAATGCTTGATGTTTATTTTGTAAAAAAGTCTTAAAGACTAACTTAAGATATATATCGTTTAAGAATTAGATAATAAAATCATACTAATTAATATTTATTTAATATTTATCAAATTCTCTTAAGTCTCATTTCCCTTGTTAAATCACATATAACTGCTTGATATTGTAAACGCCAACTATCAAATATAAATAATTTCCTTTCAAGTTGCTTTTGTTTATTTTTATGTTTATAAACAAATGCTCCTGATTTCCGACTACCTCGAGTTAAATTTTTGTTTTTCTCTCTCATTTAGAAAAACTGGCTGCCATCCAACCGTGGGAAATAGTGAATCAGTCTTCAGAAAACAAACTCAAATAGTTTTTCCCTCGTTTTGGCACATTTTCCCCTGAAACAAATAGTTTTTCCCCCCATTTTCTTTTGGCTAATTTTCTTTTGCTTTTCGTTTCCGCTGCTGGCTCATTGACTATTTGTTAATATTATAAATAATTACCAGCAATTAGAAATAATTATTCTGCTTTGCTTCGGGCGTTTATATGGCTTGCTCATTGTTTGTGCTCATGTCTCACCAAATGTCCTGCGGCAATATCAATTAACTTGAATGCTAAATACAGGCACGGGCGGCGTTAAATTGAGTTTCAAGTACTTTTTCAGCCACCTGTGCAGACGTCTTCCATGACTTGCTCATAAATTTGATGTTAATTACCTGAGGACGAACGCTTGAGCCAAGGACCCGCTTGGAAAACACGTGGCTGCGCTTAAGTCCTTTTCGGTAGCTGACACTTTGAAATTCGAGAGCGTACGGACTCTTGCGGTGACCAGTTAATTAAAATGTAGGTGAGCATGTTGTATTTATCAAAAAGTTGCCTTTGACAAAGTTAAAATCGCTATGTTAAAAATGTCTACAATTTTTAAGTAAATAAATATTTATCACAAATACTTAAATATAATCTTTTCAATTAAAAGTAATGATTAAGAAACATGTAAATTATATTAATTTATTTTTTTTCGAATTTTGACTAATTTAAAACACTTGCATAAACCAATTTTTTAAAACATAATATAATAAGCAAATATATGTTTAATCTTAACCATGTTTCATAGAAATATAAGGCATTAAAAAGAATACATATATATTTTTAAATCTCTTATTTTACACCAATTATAAATCTAGCAAATAAATACAAATATATATACTATTACGATGTTATATTTTATTTAAATGAGCAATATGAAATTTGTTGTATCAATGCCAGATGTTTATTTTTGTTTTCCAGTTTTTTATCAGTGTATTAATAAAAAGTAAATATAAAACGATTGAGGAACATGTAACTTCTATTAGTTTACTTTTCGTATGCAGAAATTAGGTGGTTGATTTCTGATTAATTATTATTAATAAAACAGCACAAGTTTACCAGCATCAAAGAGCATGAGTAATTTGTCAAGAATTTCGAGGAAGTCCGGATTTCTTGACCACATGTGAACTTTCCTTTGTGTGTGCCTACCAAAAGGGGAATTATAATTTCCCGACACGTTGCCACATGTTCTGGCCATTAATTCGGCCAGTTCGCATCATAATTGGTCCGGCACCTTGTAATGGCCAAAACTGATTTCCATATTAATTGCTCATTAGCCCGAGGTGCGAAGTGTTGCTTGCTTTTTGGCCCCAAATTGCATTAACATGCGGCAATCGGTTGACCAAGATAACGCATACGCAGTGTGGTCGATGGTGTCGGTTACTGAGATGAGTTGCTAACAGCTTTTGCGGTCTTACGGTTGCTTGCGGTTGAACAAATAATATTGAATCCACAAATTGAACAGAAGCTTGCCATGAACAGAAGACAAGTGCCGAACTCCAGGAGTGAAAATGCGGCCATAAATCAGTTTGCGGCTAGCCTTTTGCCCGGAAAAGTTTGCTAACAGATGCCCGTGCCTAATGATGCGTTATCCAAAAGAGAGAGAGAGTAAAAATTTGATATTAATATTCAATTAGAAGAACAATTATTGATTTGTCCACCGCCCTTCAAAGGAATTTTGATGAAAAAGTGGCGAGTTAAATGGCTGATGACTAAAACCGGAGCTCATCTGCAGGCAATGCACGTTAGGACCTTTTATTACGGCCACATGTCGCCTGTCCTAGGATATATATTATATCTACTATATACATGTATATAATGCCACAACTATAGTATGTAGCCAGCTGGACGGACAGTGGAGTCTCGTTTTTGAATAATTTAATGAGCTGCCTGGCGACGGCGGCGTATGCGCAATATTAAATCCAGGCGACCGCACATTTATCATCAGGCCACATACACAATGCACACATAGTCTCCACATCCCCATCCACATCCACATTCACATCCACATTCACATCCTTCACATCCTTGCCGGCACGTCAGTTTAATATGTTTTTAATTGTCCGCCACTGGCTGGGAGAATCTACTTGGCTTTAATGACCTCTCCGCTGCGGGAATGTCTCCTTTTTAATTTTTAATGTCGCCCATTAAGGCGGAATCGTGTATATTGTATCAAGGGGGTTGGGGAAAGACCTCTCCGAGGGCAAGTTAATTAATTTTTACAACGCCACGCCAGTTGGCAACAAAATTTGGCGATAAATCAACTGATAATGTCGGCACATTTAGCGACATCCCCATTTCCCAGTCCATTTCCCCCGGCCCAAAATTGTGATAAGCTTTTAGCCATGTTTAGACGGCGTTCGCGATTGACATGTGCGGGCACACAAATCGAAAGTCAACCACTTTCAGCCCGAAGCATTGGGATCGGGCTGCTAACAAAGTTTTCTGGGTCAGCGTGCGGAAAACCTTTAATCAGCGACTTCTTAATGCGTGGGTTTCCCACATTTTCTTCGGGGTAAACAACAAGTTGGTGTGGGGTGCACACATCTTGTTAAAGTTGAGTGACAATGAAAGTTTACATAAGCTGATGGGAAAAACTCACTCACTTGTTTGGGACACCCAAAAGGGTTGCTGCAATTTGAAGCTGCTTTTGTTGACTTTGCTGACTTAAAGAAAATATTTTTGTTTGATTTAAACTACATGTTTTCCTAATATAGTTAAAGCTAAGTTATTGAATTGTATGCCTTTTCCTAAGAGACATGGATAGTTCTAGCTAAGTATTGAATTTTTTTACTATATTCAAGAGGCTCTAAGCAAATCTAGAATTCTTTTAAGGCCTCAAACTTTTAAAAAGTTTTAAGTAAATTTAGTAAACTTTAGTTACTTTAATATAGCTTCCATCAATTTGTTTTAAAGCGAAAATTAATCCTCGTTACATTTTTGTTTGATAAAATTACATTTTCTTTTGTTTCCTTTCTTAAAGACATGCTCAATTATTGAATTTGTGTACTATTATAAAGAGGGAGTTAAATTACATTTTTATCTTTTTTATTCATTTTTCCTAAAATACATGGTTAGTTGTTAAATTTCTATACTTTTTAAAAGAGGCTCTTAGCAAATTTGAAAATTTCTTTATTTAAAAACCTCTTTAACTCTTAATAAGCTTTAAGTAAATTTATTAGTTTTGAATTCTTGTTATTAAGTCCTCTTGCATTACTTTAAGGCAGCTCCCAGCTATTTTTTTTGAAAGGAAAATTAATTCTCATTTTCAATTCCAATTGTCAAGCCTGCAGCATCCCAACAATATGCTCGCCAATTTATTATCCCATCAGCCGCAAAGGCCATAAAAGCGAACCGGATAAAAGCACAGACACACAGATGCGTTAGATGGGGCAGAATGTTTTCAGTGTATAATCTATAAATTGTAGAGCTAGGAATAAGATATTGCAATTCAGACACATGGGATACAGTGTAAAAGCATCAAAATAAATCTCCTTGTTTTGTTAAAGCCATATTCATGAGGGGGTTGGTTGGGATCTTGGAATCCTGGTTTTTGTTTTTTCTATTTCTTGCTTTGGCTGCCGCTCTGCTGGATGACAGCGCAAATTTTATCAAATGCCGATTCCAGGCTGTCTATAAACACCTTCCCATCGGCCTGGTTTTTGTACGTAGTGACAATGGCGCCGGCAAAATCGTTCTGTATTGAATAGCTGAGAAAGAAAAATAGGTTATCAACTGTCAGCAATTGAACAATTTGTCAAAGAATGTTGGTAAATGGGTACAAACAAGAAAGGAAGCTAACTTCGGCACGCCGAAGAAAATAAGCCCTTGCAGCAAATATAAAAATAAAATATATATATAAAACACAATCAATATTATATCTTTGTCTGATTCTTATTATGCTAATTCCGATTTTTGAAATTTGAATACAAAGTTATAAATCAAAGTGCACTAAAATAAGTTGACAAAACTTTTGACATTGCTTAAGTTTATCAAGAAAAATTAAAACTGTTAATAAGTCTATAAAATTCAGTTTTTAAACTACCGCAGCAAATCATTTTCGGAAAATTTGAGAAAATAATTTAAAATTCTCGTTCACCTTTACTTGGTGTAGGACTAAAAATGTTTTTAGTATCTAACCTACATTTTAAATTAAAAAAAATTATTAATTTATATCAATATTTTTAAAAGTGTTTTAAAGTATTATACCTATGACAAATGTGCATTTTTATATGTGTCTGAGTTTATAGTATTAGCTTGACAATATAAAAATTAGTTTTTTAAGTTACTTTAAAACTAGTTTTGATTGCTATTATTTGATTAGATAAAAAACTTATATTTTCATGACCCCGGCAAACTTCTGCCTTATATTATAATACCCTACGCAAATGTATAAAAATACCCCAATCTCGACAGACAGACAGACAGCCTTGGCTTACCCAATTCCGAAGCCATTCCTGACCACCGGACCGAATGAGCCCGCTAGCAGGGCATCCGAGCCAAGGGTTGAGGTACTGATGATGTTGTTATTGATGCGCCTGTAAGCCTCAGTATCGTAGAGATCGGGCAGGGGAATGCCCTCTTTTTGGGCAGTGTGCCGCAGGGCGAAGAGATGCCGATCGAATCCCTGGCCCATAGCTGCCTCTTTCGTAAGCTGTCCATGCACCTTGCTGCACTTGTCGATCATGGCCCGCAGTTCGCCGGCACTTGGCTTACTCCGCTCCGGCGAAAGAATGGCCTCGCAAAAGTCGCGCGTGGCATTGGTGCAGGGTCTCATCGTTTCCGTGCGTCCATGTCGAAAGGCGGAGGTGCTGCACGACTCATAGGTGCCCACATAGCCATTGTGGGCCTGACGGTAGGCCAGCTGGAAGGACAACTGGATGATGGAGTCGGGACTCAGGCCAAACTGCTTGCAGGTGGGCTTGTTCATGTGCGGATACTTCAGCACATTCAGGTCCAGACTGTCCACAATGCTGGCATTCTTGCTGTAGGCCTCCGAAACGGCCGCCTTGGTGGCCTCATCCACCTCGAAGTTGATGGGTCGCACATTGCTGCAGTCTCCCTCGGCGGGAGTGTGCACCGTCTCCGTGGACACAAACGGCTGCTGCAGGGTGTCCTTGTAGAGCTCGTTGAAGTAGCGCAGCACAGCCACGCCATCGCCCCACGAATGCTCAAAGTTTATGGCCGTGGTGCCATCCGCGCTGATCAGCAGGGAAATGGACTTGTCGAACCACCTGTGGGTTAGAGAAAAGTGATGTGAATTATATATTTGTACCTCCATAATTATTAAATTTTTTAAAAAATGCAATATTATCATAATGCTTGCTTACCAACAAACAAAATTATTTTAAAGAAAATTGGAAACTGTTAAATGAAAGCTTTAAATGCACTTTTAAATATACTGCAGTAAATGATTTAATAATAATTTTTATATACATTTAAGAAAATAACAATTAATCATAGTTAATCTGCACCTTGAATGATACTATAAATATATATAAAATCTGATTTAAAATGTATGTATGTATTTGTAATGTATGCCCCATTTAGTTTATAGTATTAGCTACAGAAAAACATATACAAGTTTTTTACGCGTTGCAATTCTATAAGATAATGGTTGATTCCATAAAAATGGTGCGGATATATATTTTATATATATATATTTTAACTAAACATATTTAAATCTAATAAAATAGTCAGTTATTGCATGATCTGTTTGAGGGAAATACGAAGAACAAACATTCAAAGATAAGAAGCGGTGGTGGTACTATTATTTTGACCGCAACTGTATATAGTCTGTTATGATTTCTTACCGATTGTGAGCCTTTCCCGCCAGCAAATGCTTGAGCAAAGGTTCTTGACGATCCTCATTGAAGACCCCATCCTCTGGGCCATCCAGACAAACGCAGAACAGAGCCGCATCCACTTCGTTCTGGAGGAGATCGGCATTTTTGGGGTTAGAGACAAACTGCTCTCGGCTTTTGGCCCACTCATCGCGCTGTCCGGAGGTGAGGACACCGAGGGGAACACTGGCCGCCTCGCGATCGGCATCTAGTTGGAGCACAGCCCTCAGCCTGCCCAGAATTACACTGGGACTTTCGATGTAGCCACTGGAATCGAGTACGTTCAGGGCATACATATGGCCACGTCGCATGACGAGGATGTGTTTGGAGTTGGGGGACTGGACGAGCTCGTCCTTGCCCACCCTGGGAATCCTGGAGGTGCCAAACAATCGGCTATACTGGCTCATGTCCAGGGGGAAGGCCTTGAAGGCGTAGGAGGCATAGGTGGCCAGGGCCTTGGGAGCCACCTTCATCCAGCGGCGGTAGCTGGCGGTGTCGCTTTTCTTGGCATTCATGTGGTAGACCTCCGGCTCCAGGAGATCCGATTGCAGGGAGCGCCAGAAGCGCAGCGAACTGATGATCAGATTGGTGGCCCTCACCACCTGATCCTGGTACTCCGGCCGGGAATCGCTTTTCATCACCAGCAGGGGATTGTAGTTGAGCGGCAGTGGCGCCCGATCGGCCAGATACATGTCGAACCAGGGCTGTGATATATAGCTGGTGTGCTTGTTCTCCGCATCATGGTTTTTGAGTTTCGCATGCAATTCCATGCCGATTCCCTGACGGAATTGTTCCACCTTCTCCTTGGTTTCCAAATGCTCCTCTGGAGAAAGTAGTGGCCTGGTGGCCTCCAGAAAACGGTTGCAACTGTGCTCCAGCAGAGGAATCGGTAATCTCGGCAAGGAGCGCTGAAAATATAGCGTAGGCAGCTTGGAGCACTGCAAATATTGATAGTGCTGACCATGAGTCGTCGTTGTTCGCGATGAATTCGTTGAAATCCATGACAGATTGCGGTGCACCCTTGCTCGGAACATGGCTCTCAGCTCTCCACTTCACTCGATTTCCAAATTAAATAACAATTGTTTGTTAAACTCGAGAGGCGAGCGTCTCAAAGTCCAAAACAGAAAGTGCAACAACAACGGAGAAATTCGCCAGCCACATCAGCTGTTTGAATTCGATAGGCACAGCTGATCGCCGATATCGATAACTCAAGGGGCGGTATTTTCTTATGGTATTTTATTGTGTTTTTGGCGGAAAGAAAGTAAAGGCGCGTTTTTTGAATATTATCAAAAGTAATAATAGTTAGGTTTCAAACCATATTTATTAAAAGTATGAAAACAATAGTAAAGTTTAAAGTTTTAAGAATAAAAAAGCTAAACTTAATCTAGGATTTTGAAAAGAAATAAAAGTTTAATACGTTTTTGTTAAAATCAACACTTGAACTCTTTGAATTTAAATATATATTTTACATTAACACAATAAATTCAACATATAGCTCGACGTTGAGGAAATTTAAATATTCACTGAAAACATGGCCCGTATGTTGCTAATTTATGGCATTAACACAATCAATTCAATGAATTGAATTTATGGAACTGAATTTATATTTATGGCATTAACACAAGTAATTCAATATGAAGCTCAATGTTAATGGGAATTTAAATATTCGCTGAAATCATCGCAGAGTGGGCCAAAACATTTTTTTTGAATTCCACACTCGTCTGACCTTCTGGATAACATTTAGCATTTGCAAAGGGAAAGGGGTTTTTGCGGATCTCCCTGAATTCCGCATAATTTCGCACTTGGCCCCGACGGACTTCGTTTTCGTTTTCGTCTTCGTTTCCGCATCCCTTTTCGCAATTTAATGTGCTTCACTTTTGCACTTTCGCTGGCTTGTTAAATATTAACGCAATTTCACTTCGCTCAATTACACTGCAACCCATCCGCATCCACATCCGTATCCGCATTCGCATCCGATGATGCCCCTTATGCAAATTTAAATGGCAAGGGGGGATTCCACCGCTCACTTTACTTAATTTGAGGAATTGAGGGGCAGTGGATTATATTTCACCGATGCCGAGTGCAAATTGCAAGGACAAATCGAAGGGAAGACTTCTGGACTACTCTCGTTAAATTCGACAGGGCATAAACATTTTATGCGAATTTTCATTTCTTTCTTGGCCCCCTTAATTTTAGTAAGCCGTTTATTTATTTGCCGCACCTGGGGAACATTGACCGAAAGGAGCCTTTGACCCACCACGTCTACAGGATGTCCTGACCCCTACGAGTATTCAAGTTCCCATTCCCTAAAATCCCAATCCCCACAAATAACCAGCAGACATCAACAGCGGGCAAACAAATAAACGCCACGCAAATGCAAACAAAATGCTGTTTATCCAAGGACCAAAATCGCCAAAAAGGTGAAAGGACGCTTAAGCACTTGAGCGCCTTCAAATCGAACAAATCGATGGGTAATTGCTATTGCAATTGCTTTTAGATTTTAAAGACCCATCGCGGCCTTAAATCAACTGGTGGGAAAGGTAATACCTTGGTGTTTTACTTACATAATATAACTTTTTATGAGAATTTTATTTGCTTGGGCATTTGATGCATTAAACATTCCACAATTTTAATAATTTTAGTATACCTTTATTATTATTCACTTAACATTTCTTTAAGAAAATATAATTAAAATCGAAATTTAATTAATTTCATTACAATTTTTAATTATTAAATTTTAATTATTATTTTATTTACTGTTTATTCACGTGGAAGAGTCCTTGAATAAGTTATGTATGCAGACAATCTTGGCACTTATTAACCACGAACGGTGTCATAAAATCAGACTGTCTCCGCCCATAAAAATACCTTTAAAAATCCCTTTTTTTCCTAGGCACAAAAATCAACATTTATTGCAAGAGTCCATTGCCGGACAATAAAACTTTTGGCCATTCCAGCACGCACAGCCTATCCTTTTATCTTGATTTTTCGCACCTGAAAGGTGTGCCGTATAAGTCGCTTTCGACGGGTTGACAACTGCCAAAGAAACGGTCAAAAGGTGACCAGATGGAAGAGTTAACAGGCAAATTCCATTTGCACCCTGATGACAATGGCAAATGGGTTAGCCGTCCCTCGGGCAGACGAAGATTTAGATTTGCATAGATGGCTCAGCATAAATGCCGCATTCCAGTCAAGCAAATCATTGACACGGCCTTCAATGGAGACGGCTCTGAAATGGCCGCGTTGACAGGGCCAAGAAATGGAGGCAATAACTCAGGCCTCACTGTAGGAGGTCGCACTGTGGAAAGAGCAACGAAAAAATGTGCTTTAGATTGTCCCAACATTTTCCTTTATGACAATTCATGAAAATATTTCCATAGCTTACCTTAATTATTAAAATCAGGCGAACTTACGAATAAATATGATTGCAGGCAGATTTAAAAGCTTAATCAAATGTAACTAGAAGCAAAGGAGAACAAAGACGAAACGTTGCGAAAAGTCTGGGAAATTCCGTCTCGATGTTGCGCTAGCTTTTCCCTTGTACTTGCCCTGCAGGAAGCCAGAGAAAATATACATTTAATTCACCAACCTGGACGTGTATGACAAATAAAGCATGACAATAAAGTCAAGACCCACACGCAAAAAACCACCCACCTTTTAAGTTCTTGAAGATTTTGTGTAGGCTGATGAATATGTATAGGCTTTATGCAGCCGCAATTTGCGGCTCTTGTGTGCAATTATGCGCAAACATGTTAATTTTCATAATTGCCAGCCATTCTGAAAAAGCAAATATTGCAAATAATTGCAGCAATTTTAGGGGACACTGAACTTGCTGTCATTAATTTATGGCCAGCCACGAGCGATGACCAGCAGCATAATTAATAAGCCACAGGAACAGGCACTGGGGAATCCTTTTTTTTGCGAGGCAGCAATGTCAAGGTTCAATGTCACCCGGCAATCAAAGCTGCAGGCCACAGGGTTTATTGATATTCCTTGGGTGTGGTATGAATTTATATATATATATCAGGGGTATAAAATAGCATGTCGGATGTGACATTAATGGAGGACAAGCCAGAGTGCAAATGCAAATTATTTATTTTGGTTATTTAAATAAATATAAATAAATCTAAATCAATATAGAACGAACAACTAAAAAAAATAAATTATAAATAAACAAACTTCAAGAACCTTGAACTTAAAAATATTAAACAACCTGAGTTAAATTTTACTTAAAGATAAACAGTTTAAGGAGATATAAAAAACCAAGTAATGATTGCACACATGTGGTGAAACGTCTCCTGCAAAATCAAGGCCTATGAGCCAGAAAAAAACAAGTTAATGGCAAGCCCAATTACCAGATGTATATAATAGGACGCATGTATGTAAATGAACGCAAAATTTTCTTAACTTTTGGAGAAGCCAAGTCAAGTATTCCGCCTACTACACAACCGCCATTGTGATGATTTTGCTAGAAGGCCAGCAAATTGCTCAATTTTTTTGTTGTTTTTTTTTGAATGATTTTTTTCGTGACTGTGGCCGAGAGCAAAGCGAAATCATATTTCACAAGAGTGGAAACAACAGCAGCAACACGAACACATTAAATTGCTATAAAGCCATTGCCATTCCCAGCTACCAGTTCCTAGGACGCCTCCAAGAAAGCCGCGCCGACATGTGAACTCCTGCTCCCCTGGCCCTCTATTCCTGCACTCTGAAAATATATACTTAGTATATCGACAGTTAAGATAGCTAGGAATATAACATATAAATTATTTGTATATGCTTTGCTTAGTTTTATGTGCTATTGAAATCTAAATGCAAGCCTTATATTATTATGATTACCTTAGTTTCGATTTATGTTTATCTTTTTGATCATTGCAAGCATGTTCTTCAATAAATATATTTATCTCCAACAATAATTTTTATTTTCAATATTTAATCATTTCTAATCGCAAATATTTCATTTCTTTTATTAAAATTTGATTTTCAATAATATCTTTTTATGGCTTTTTTTCAGAGTGTAATTTCATGTCCTTAGTCACCGATTCCCTGACCCCTGACCCCTGATTCCCATTCATGCTCTTTGGGTTCCAGTTCCGCCGTGACGACATGTAACTGATGTTGTTTGTTGTAAATTTAATTTTGCCAGGCTGAGCGAGCCGAAAACTGGGAAACTGGGAAACTGGGAAACGGGGGAAATGGCTTTCAGTGCTTTCTTGCAGCTTGTTTGGCCAAGTTAAAGTTTATTCTGTTCTCCGAATGTATTTTGAGCAGATTGAATTGTTTGATTTTATTTTCGAGGAGCCCAGTAGTTCAGGTTCGCGTGACGGCGAGCGTTTTGGCCAATTTTATGGTCGGCAATTAACAGGTCCGCAGAAATAGGCAACACTTTTCACATGTCGTGCTGACGGCCATTAATCAGGTTCAAGTTTATGGGTTTTTTTTTTGGCGAACGGAAAACGGGAAACGGAAAGGGAGCGTTCCACCAATCGTAATGGAATCGAAACGAGCGGAAATGCGCACAAATAAATCAAGTTCTCATAAATTATGAAAACGGGCGCCGGACGTTGGCTAAAAATAACAGAAAATGGCCCACTATTTGCGTCAGCCGTATAACTAATAAAAAATATAAATGTTTCTACAGGCCTGCGTCATGCTGTTGTTATTTATTCGCGGTTTTTCGTTGATCACTCAAAAATTTCAAATTGTTTTCGCAATAACTCAGCCCTTTTTCAGCTTTCTCCGCTTTTCCCCATTCGATTTCATGCAAAATGCTGACATGACGTCAGCAGTGTCCCTCTGCGAGGATTTTGTGATTTCAGTGGACATGTGAGGGAGTGTGGAATCCGTTTGTAAATGAATTTCAATGGTCCACCATTTGCAGTTGCGAACACTTTCGAAACGATTTCCATTTGCCAACGCTAAAAATGTTCAACTGAGTGGAAGTCAAAAGGAAAAGGGACGAATTTACGGGAGTTCAAACAAAGTTTGTGTTTCTTTTTGAAGGTTGGCCATTTTCGAAACTGTTATTGCGGCTGGTTTTTGAATGGCCTAACAATTTGTTTGAATGCGAGATGTAGCGGAATTTATATTGCTGCATAGGAGCAATTAGGTGGTCATTCAATTGAGTTTCTGTTAAGCGCTGAATAGGCCAGAAATACCCCTCTTTTATATAAAGTGCTTTTACTTGCGGTAGTTTACCATATTTAAAATATAAATAGATATAAATCAAATCTAGGCACGAACTGTGTTTACCTTTTAAAAATAACATTTATAAGAGCATGAAAACAATTTCATTTTGTATATTCTTTGTCCATTCCATTGCAGCTTAATTTCCGCGTGGGTGGAAAATCGAAAGGAAAGACCCAACAAATTGAAATGCAATCAAACAAAAGGGAGAACACAACCGAGCGGTTTGCTTGTGGCACTGAATTATGTATGCCAAGGATGGCAGGACAGCAGGATGGCAGGATGGCAGGATGGCAGGACTCGGACCCTGTCGCATTTTTGTAAGTGCACGTGATTGCACTGGACCGGTCCCATGCATTTATTTGCATATTTACCGCCACAACAGTGAAGACAGAAGCCCCGGCGTTTACTCTACATTTACTCACTGCATTTGCATTGACTCCGAGATTTCAGGCCAGTACCATCCACTTACACACGTCGGAATGCCGGATCCTTGGGCCGAGATGATGGCCCAGAATGCAAATTACTTCACCCCGGCAGTTGTCAACTCAACTGGGTCTGAACTACCAGTATCTGTATATATAGAGTACTTATGGGACATTTGCTCAGACAAATAGCAGCAGATCATCGGCAGTGTTTAGAGTTGTCAAACGATAGTCAATGAGTTGAATCTCAAAATGTGACACAGCTGAGATTTCGCATGTTCTATAAGTATAAGGAACTTGAGACTCATTTGCTGGGCCACATTTCTATTTCTTAAGCTACTTTTCTCTTAAATTAAACTTTAGTACAAAACCTAGTTATGTTTAAAAATACTTTCATAGCGTTTTTGCTTGAGGCTCTGAAAAAATGTGATTGACGGAACCATAAAATAACAACCGCAACTTAAAAAAGATATTTTTCATTAACCTTCACTTTCAACCAATATGAAAATCCTTTTTGGCGTCAAAGTGCTTTTAAAATTCAGCTGGTTTCTTGTTGGTGAACTTCAAGGTTCTTCCAAAATATAGTTAATATTAAAAACAAAAGCTAAACTTTAACTTTGTTAAATGGCATTTTATTGTTGGTATATCAATTTAATTTTTAGCTAACAATGAACTTTTAAATATTTTTTCAGGCTTAGTTCTTGAAAACTAAATAAAACTTTTAACTGTATGAGTATATTTTTTAGGAGTAAGGGAAGTAGTAGAAAGTTATTATACATTTATTAAGTTTATTTGCTTATCTACTCTAGCTTCTAAAAAACCAGTTGTAAGTCGAAATTTTTTTAAAATCTGGTGTTTTAGTTTAAATTCATTCTTTAGTAGAAATGGAAGAAGTGCTATGATAGTAATTATACATATAAAACGTTTTTATACTTATCCACTCAACTATTTATTAACTTAACTCTTTAAAATTGGTAGCTTTTACCTCAACTTAGAGTAACAAAGGTATTTGTGTTTATAAAGTGAAGTGTTTAAGTTCATATTCTCTGAAATTTTATATATGTTAAAAAATATTTTTCCAAAAGCTTAAACATAAGTTATTCAAGGGGCGTGGCACCTCGCTTTTTTGTGTGTGTCTGCAATGGAGATGGCCAAAAGTATTCGCATTACCTTCTTGTTGCCACCGAGCTTAAAATAAAAATTGACTGTTGCTGCTGCCGTCAACCTCTTCCTTATTGTAGTTGCTGTTTTCGCTTCTCTTCATTTGCACTGCAAATGTGCGAGGAAAAGCGGGAAAAGGCGGGAGTGGGCGGAAAAATGGGAGCTGCCAAAGAAAAGATGGCGAAGATGGGAACGAGGGCTCCTGCAGCTTAGCGTTAATTCCCATGAAACTCAAACGGATGTGCAGACTGGCACGCACACTCAAACTCAGACACACACACACACACACTTACTTAAGGATACCCATACAAACGCATAACCAAGGAGCATCAAGTGCCATTTCGCATGAGTAAGTTGAGCGAAATTAAAAAAGAAATTGCATAAAAACTCGCACAATGCCAGCACAACTGAATAAAATGAAATGCTGCCCGCGGAGGAGTCAAAAAAAACAAAGAAGGGAAATAAGGAAAACGGCGAAAAGCCGGCAAGGGAAAGCGGAAAACGACAAAGTAGCGCCTGCAGCTTAAAGTGCAGCAAATTAAATTTCACCCCGGAAAGGTTCAGCCACATTCTTTCTTGGCCGCATTCTCAAGTGTTACACTTGACAGTGAGTGAATGTGAAAGAAGGCAACTTGAACACTTTTAATTAAAAAAAATAGACTTAATATACCAATTAAAATATAACATAAATAACATATGACTAGAATCCTAAGTTCCTGTGCATTGGTTTAGTCTTTTGTTTCAGTAAA